CAGCGTCCAGGCGCTGGGACTCTGCGCGGGGCCGCGCCTGGGTCGCGGCGAACGAAGCGCAAAGGGGGCCGCCGGCGACTGCCACCCGCCCGCCGGCGTCCCTCCAGCGAGCCCGGCCCCGGCCCGTCTCCGGGCGGCTCGCGGACCCTTTCCCCCGGCCGCCGCCGGCCGCCCCCGGCCCGGCCCGTCTCTGCGCCGCGGGCGGCGAACGGCACGTGAGCCCGCCCCGGTCCGCCGGCCGCGCCGGGTCTCGCGACAGGGACCCGCCGCTCCCCCCAGCCCGGCACATTCCGGCGCGGGCGTCCTCCGCAGCTCCGCCCCCGCCCCCACCCGCTCCCCGGCTCTCACCTCGTCGCGGGGCTCCGAGCGCCGGGGACGAACTTTCGGGAGGCGAGAGGCGGGAGCGGGAGCTCCGGGACCAGCTGGGGCTGCCCCCGGCCCGCGCCGGGTCCCGGGGCGGCGGGCGGCGGACTCGCGCCCCGGGGCGGCAGCAGCTGCGGCGCCTGCGGCCGGCGCCCGCCCGGGCAGCTCGAGCTGGGGCGGGAGCCAGGGGAGGGGGGCGGCGGGGCCGCGCACGCGGGCGGCGGGCGCGCGCCGTCCCGAGGAGGGCCCGGGAGAGCCCTGGACCGCTCCCGTTAAAACGGCAATGCCGCTGGGACCGTGGGGCCCGCCGGGCCGGGCGGGGAGCCGAGGTGCGGGCGGAGAGGAGGGAGCAGGATGCCAGGATCTGGGAGGGTCAGTGACGCGCGGGGGCCAGGAAAGGTGAGGCCAGACCCCGCACGGGGACCGGGGCCCGGAGCCGGGCGCGTCGCCGCCGTCGGAGGCGCGCCCGGGGGCGGAGCCTCGTCCGAGCCCCGCCCAGGGTGGGCCGCTCCGGCCCCGCCCCCTGGCGCTCGGCGCCGCCAGCCCCGCCCTCGGCTCCCGTCGCGGCCGCTCGCTGCCCCGCCCGCCTCGCCTCGCCCCTCCGTTCTGGAACTCGCCGCGCGCTGCCTCAGGTGCCTCGTCCGACGCGGTCGGCAGCGGCGGAGCCACCGGGCGCTCTGCCCGGCCCTGCTGGCCGTCGGGTTCATCAGGATGAGTCGGCCGAGTCGCCGCCTCAGACCCGAGCTGGCGCCTCGGATCTGGGTGCCACCTCAGGCCCGGCCACCCTCCCTCTGATTCCGCTTTCTCCCCTCAGGCTGGTACCCTCCGCGTCCGACTCCTTTCGCCCCCACAAAGAGCGGGGAGAAGACTCCCCCTCTTCCCGAAAGTGCGACTGCTGCCCAGTCCGCGTACGGCCCGGCCCCGGCCCTCACGCCCAGGGCTTCACCCGCACCCCCATGGCCCGACCCCTCCGGACTGCCCCGTCAGCGCAGGCTGCTGCCCAGGGCCAACTGTCCGGGGGCCGCCCGGCTTCCTCCGGAGTTTATTCCTCCAGCCCGACCTCAGAGAGTTGAAGGGGGACAGTCCCCAACTGCCCCGGCTCACCCTTTCCGGCCCCGGAGCACCCTCTGGACACCCCCAACTGTCTTCGTTTTTTCTAGATTGTTCCTTTGCCACCCTAGGAAGACATGTTTCTCTCCTGCCCCTCCTCCCAACTTAACTGCCCCTTTTCCTGATTGGCCCTTGAATACGTTTTTCTCTTTCATTTTCAAGGGAGGGAGGGCTGGAGCAACGCTCAGTGCCTGGACTGCTGTTCGCTTAATTCCTGGGGAATAGCTCCCCGTGGTGCTTAGAGCACCTTGGGTTTATATTGGGGGGAGAGCCATATTTTTCGTTTTCTTCTTTTAGGAAGTGGGGGTGGGTTTTGGAGCCACACCCAACAGTATTACTCTTGGCTCTGCACTCAGGAATTTCGCCTAGCATGGCCCTGAGGACTGTATGGGATCTGGAAAAGAACCCAGGTCAACCTTGAGGGCACTTCGTTGTGCGGGCGTCAAACGAATCTTTCTACTTGAAAGATGAACTCTCCTATTTGAACTCTCTTTCCGTCACACACCTGCCCCTTTTTATTTTTAAGAGGGGGTCTCTTTTGAGGGAGAGGTCACACTCTGTGATGCTCAGGGGTTATTCCTGGCTCTGCACTCAGGAATTACACCTGGCGGTGCTGGGGAACCATATGGGATGCCTGTGATTGGTCATGTGCAAAGCAAATGACTTCTCCGTGTACTACCTCTCTGACCCCACCCCTGCCCCTTTTTAAACCTGCTTTCTCAAACCATTCTTAGTTGCCCTTGGATAAATACTTGTTAACTCGAAGTTTTCAGTTCAATTCCTGGTCCATCCTTCATTTTGCCTACTGTCAATCTCCTAACTTACCTAGCATTTTCTTTTTCTTTTTTTCCTTTTTGGGGGCTGGAGCGATAGCACAGCGGTAGGGCGTTCGCCTTACAAGCGGCCAACATGGCCGACCCGAGTTCGATTCCTCCGCCCCTCTCGGAGAGCCCGGCAAGCTACCGAGAGTATTCGATATGCCAGACACAGTAACAACAAAGTCTGCAGTGGAGACGTTACTGGGCCCGCTCGAGCAAATCGACGATCAACGGGAGGGCCTTTACCTTTACCTTTTTACCTTGGGTCACACCCAGCAATGCACAGGGGTCACTCCTGGCTCTGCACTCAGGAATTACCCCTGGCGGTAATCAGGGGACCATATGGGATGTTAGGACTCGAACCCGGGTCGGCCGCATGCAAGGCAAACGCCCTACCCGCTGTGCAATCACTCCAGCCGCTACCTAGCATTTTCTTATTTGGGACAATTTCCAGCTCAGTGTTCAGAGGTCAGTCCTTGTGTTGCTCAGTAGCCTGTGTGGTGCCAGGGATTGAACAAGGTTTGCGCTCCAACCCTTTGAGCTATCTCCTGAGCCAGGACCTAGAATTGTTTGTTTGTTCATTTGAGGGCCACACTCCACTGTGCTTAGGGCTTACTCCTGGCTTCCCACAAGGTTTGAGGGACCATATGTGGTGCCAGGGATAGAATAGGTCCACTGCATGCAGGACTAGCACCCTGCCTAATTTAACATCACTCCATGAAGTCATGAAATTTACATACAAGTGGTACTACATGGAAAGTATCATGCTAAGTGAAATGAGTCAGAAAGAGAGGGACAGACATAGAAAGATTGCATTCACCTGGGGAACATAAAATAACAAAATAGGAGACTAACACCCAAGCATAGCCGAGATAAGTACCAGGAGGTTTACTCCATGACTTGGAGGCCAGTCGCACGTGCTAGGGGAAAAGGCAGCACAGATAGAGAAGGGAACACCAAATAAAGGGTGTTGGGAGGATCCCCCCAAGATGGGAGATGCATAATGAAGTAGACTATAGACCAAACATGATTGCCACTCAATGCCTCTTGCAAACCATAGTACCCAAAAAGAGAACAAAAGGAATGCCCTGCCACAGAGGCGGGGTGGGATGGGGGGGAATGGGGTGGGTGGGAGGGATACTGGAATCATTGGTGGTGGAGAATGGGCACTGGTGGAGGGATGGGAACTCGATCATTGTATAACTGAAACCCAAGCACAAAAATTTGTAAGTCTACAACTGTACCTCATGGTGTTTCACTAATAAAAATTAAAAAAAAATTAGCATCACTCCAGCCCCTTACCTAGAATTTTTATCTAACTTTCTAACCACCCTGACTACTCTCAGTCATCTTGGGCTGTCCCTAATTCTGACCTTGTGAAACTTATCTCTCCTCACTGTTTTTTACCTAAAGACTTCCCTAACTACCCCTCTTTTCCCTGTCACCAATGGACCACTCTGTCCACACTTAACTTTCACTAGCCACTCATACCTGAATTATCAACCTCAATTCTGCCACTTCTGTTTCCAACTGCCAATTCCATATCAACTCCACAAATACCTCTATTCCATCTAGAGACTCCCCATCCTTTTTTAATCATCCCAGCCTTGTAACTGCCTTTAACTCCCTCTTTAAATTTATCTTACTTTATAAATTTGGCTTCAAAAATTTAATTTGATTTTCTTTACCTTTTTTCACATTTCTTGTGCTTGTCAGATTCACCCAGTGTGTACAGCAAATAGAAATGTCCCTTTCTGGGGCTGGAGCGATAGCACAGCGGGTAGGGGGTTTGCCTTGCACGCAGCCAACATGGCCGACACAGGTTCGATTCCCAGCATCCCATATGATCCCCCGAGCACCGCCAGGAGCAATTCCTGAGTGCATGAGCCAGGAGTAACCCCTGAGCATCACCGGGTGTGACCCAAAAAGCAAAAATAAATAAATAAAGTATTTACAAAAAAAAAAAAGAAATGTCCCTTTCTAACTAGAAGTCCCTTTTAAGCTCTTTTATCCTTCAATGGAAATTTATAAATGTATATATGTATACATGTATACATATATGTATACATGTATACATAAGTGTATACATGTATACATTTATAAGTGATAATTTTCACAAATATAATAGATTATAAGGTAATTAGGATGTAAACCTGATTGACAATCACAAATTTCACAATAGTATAAAGTTTGTCTACTAAATAGTTTTTAATTTATAAATTTATTTTTTCTTAATTTCTAGGACTGGAGCGATAGCACAGCGGGTAGGGCATTTGCCTTGCATGTAGCCAACCCGGGTTCGATTACTCTGTCCCTCTCATTGAGACCAGCAAGCTACCAAGAGTATCCCACCCACACGGCAGAGCCTGACAAGCTCAGGGGTTACTCTTGGTGGTGCTCAGGGACCATATGGAATGCTGGGAATCGAACCTGGGTCAGCCACTTGCAAGGCAAGCACCCTACCTGCTGTGCTATTGTTCCAGACCCCCTTAATTTCCATTTTCAAAGCATTGAAAGCATAGTTGATAAATCTCTACATTCTTGGTTTTATGGAGATTTGATTCATGACCCAGAGTGTGGTCTGTCATGGAGACTGTCCTATATGTACTGTAGAATAATGTGTACTTAACGTTTGGGGCTTGGAGAGCCATACATATGTATGGTAGATCCATCTATTTCATTTCTCCCATCAAGGTCAGTGTTTCCTTCTTGAGTTTTTGCTCTGTCTAACAGTGATAGATGCATATAAAAGTCTCTTACTACTATTTTTGCTGTCAATCTTTTCTTCATGTCTATTTGTTGTTTTGAATATTTTGACAATCCATAGTTATGAGAAAATATTGCATAGGAATATGAGCTCTGTTCTCTTTCAAGACCATCCTCTTTCTGATCTCTAAATCTACTACTGATCTCATCTCAATAGCCATTTTGTGAATGAGTGATTCGTTTTCCATTATCTTCCCAGCACAAATGAGGAGACTGAATCCAGATACCCAGCCCCATCCAAATATCCAGATGCAGGAAGATGAGGAAAACCTCATTCCCTTTGCCAAGTGAGTACTCCACACTCAGTTGGAAGGATGTGGACAGGGTGGAAAGAAGACTGCATGCCTAGACCTCCCCCAAGAAGTAGGAACAAGGGATAGCATTTCTGGTCTTAGGGGGTTGATAGAATCACACATTTATTTAACCAATACTTGAGAGATAATATAATGGGCAAGGTGTTTTTCTTGCATGCAGCCTATCTGGGTTCAATTCCCAACACCCATATTCACCCCTGGCAGGAATGATCCCTGAGAGCCACTGGGTATAGCCAAAAGACAAACAAGTTTTGAACAGTATTAGGTTCTGAGGAATCAACAGTTAGAAAGAAAGGAGTTTTACTCCTAGAGCTTATATTTTATTTATTTTGGTTTTGGGACCATATCCGGTGGTACTCTGTACTCTAGGATCACTCCTGACAGGGCTCTGGGGAACATATGTAGTACAGGGCATCAAACCCTGGCACAGCCCCATGCAAGGAAAGTTCCCTACCCTCTGTATTATCTCTGGTTCTATTAAGAGTATATTGAAGTGGGGCTGGAGCGATAGCACAGCAGGTAGGGCGTTTGCCTTGCACGCCGCCGACCCAGGTTCAATTCCCAGCATCCCATATGGTCCCCTGAGCACTGCCGGGGTAATTCCTGAGCGCAGAGCCAGGACTGACCCCTGTGCATTGCCGGGTGTAACCCAAAAATAAAAAAAAAAAAGAATATTTTGAAGTAAATCCCAACTTGTGTATAATTTTACGTGATCTTTTCATTGCAGTACAGAGTCAAACTCAAGTCTTCATATTTGCAAGGCAAGCACTGTATCACTGGGCCACATCCCAGCTAAATATATTTTTTGTCTACACCCACAGGAATAAGCCAGGCTTACTTGTGGCTTTTCACTCAGGGACCACTGCTGGTGAGCTTGGAAGACCATATGTGATACCAGGGATTGAAACCAGGTCGGCCATATGCAAGGCAAACACTGTGTACTATCACTCCAGCCCCTGGTCTTTTTTTCTTTTTTCCCCCTCTTTTTTTTTTTTTTTTTTGGTTGAGGGGCAATGTTTTTGGTCACACCTGATGGTGCTTAGGGATTATTCCTGGCACTGTGTTTAGGGGACACTTTTGGCAGTGCTCAGGGAACCATATGTATTACTGGAATTCTGAAGTAGAGTTGGCCACAGGCAAGGTACATGCCTTAACCCCAGGACTTTCTTTCTGGCCTTCATTTTTTGTGGTTGTTTTTTGGTCACACCTGGCGGTTCTCAGGGCTTACTCCTGGTTCTACACTCAGAAATCATTTCTAGCAGAGTCTAAGGGACCATGTGTGGTGTCAGGATTGAACCTGGGTCAGCCTCATATTAGGCAAGAGCCCTACCTACTGTACTATCTCTCTGGCCCATGAGTCCTCATATTAAAAGATTTTTCTCTTAAGACTGGGAAGATAGCTTTAGGGCTGATCATATACTTGGCATAAGAGGACCAGAGTTCAGTCCCTGGTTCCCTGAGTACCAGTCAGAAGGGAATAGCACCTGAGTACTGCCACATATGGCCCATAAAAAAAAAAAAAACAACCAGGTCCAAAGAAATAACTAATGGGCTGAGCACATGCTTTGCATGCAGAATCCCTGGCACCACATGGCCCGCAAGTACCACCTGTAGTGACTTTCAGCACAGAAGAAAGAATAACCCCTGAGTACCACAGGGTATGGCCAAAAAGAAAATCTTTTATAAAAGGATTATTCTCACTGATCTGTGCACAATAAATTGTTGGGGAAAGAATAAGAATGAACGTACGCACCCCTCAAAAATGAGGGCCCAACCCCAGGGGGGAAAGGGTGCTGTTCCTCCGCCTGCTCCCCCTAGGCAGCTCGGTGGCCGCCATCCTCCAAAGGTCACTGGACTGTCAGGTTTGGGCCCTCAGTGACGAGACACGTGGGGCCTCACGGGATGGGTGTGGAGCTGGCCCTTTCCTTCCTGTCCCAACAAGACCCCGAGTTGCCACCCATGAAGGGCCTTTCCTGCTCCTGATCAAGCTGCTCAACGGCCATGATCCCAGAGACTCAGGAACAAATCTCAGAACCCAGTAGGTTTTGGCAGAAATCCCTCCAGATTTAAGTGTTAAAATTTCGGAATTTCAAAATTGCACGGCCACTACTGCAGCCATGCGACATCATATGTTATTCTGAACCAGCAACAGACAACAAATTGTCTACTGTCGCCTTTTCAGCAGACCTGAATGTTGGGGTAAAGGTAAAGGTAAAGGTAAAGGCCCTCCCGTTGATCGTCGATTTGCTCGAGCGGGCCCAGTAACGTCTCCATTGGAGACTTTGTTGTTACTGTGTCTGGCATATCGAATACTCTGGGTAGCTTGCCGGGCTCTCCGAGAGGGGCGGAGGAATCGAACTCGGTTGGCCATGTTGGCCGCTTGTAAGGCGAACGTAAAATCCCAAATAATAATGGTGGGTCTGGTGTCAAAATATTGAATGTGATCAAAGTAGAGAGAGAGTAATGTGGAAATCATCTGCCCCACAGGTAGGGGGAGGGTGTGGGATGGGAGTATACTGGGGCTTTTGGTGGTGGAGAATGGGCACTGGTGAAAGGATGGGTGTTTCATTGTATGACCAAGACTTAAACCCAAAAGCTTTGTAACTGCTCTCACGGTGATTCAATAAATAAAATTATTAAAAAATGGGGGGGGGAAATGAGGGCCCAGAGAGATAGTACAAGGATTAAAGTGCTTGCTTGCTGGTGACCAACTCAGAATCAATTCCAGAACTGCATATGATCACCTGAGTATCACATGGTAGACACACATGGTATGTGTGTGTGTGTGTATACAAAAGCTGAATATATATACATATATATATATATATATATAGAAGTAAACCTGCAAGGAATAGTCAAATTTGGGTAGAATTAACAGAACTTACTGATAGATATGGGAAGAGAGGAAAAGTGAAGTATACCAGAGTTTCTTTTTTGGTAAACCAAGATAGTTTTAATTCAAACTTATTTAGAAAGGTGTGAGGAGAAAGAAAGAGATGTACATGTTCTAGAGAGAACACAGGCTTCTCCAGTGTGGAAATGGGCAAGCAAAGAAACATAGAGACAAGCAAGAGAGATACACGTTCATGGGAGAACACAGGCTTGAAGAGCAAGCTGGTATACCAACTTTTTGATACTAGAAACTTGGCATTTGGAGAGGGGGCTTTCACTGAGTTGGGGTAAGATAGGAAGGAGATATTGAGTGAGCATCTGAACATGAAAAATTTGAAGCCCAAGGGAGGAATGGAGGCTAGAAATAAAGATTTGGGAGTCTTCAGCACATTAGTAGTATTTGTTTATTTATTTATTTATTTATTTGGGGGTGGGGTGGAGAACCAAACCTGGTAATGATCTGGGAATACTCCTATCTTCAGAGACCCCTCTTGGTGGTGCCAAGGATCAAAACAAGGTCAGCCCCATGCAAAGCAAGCACTTTACCCACTATACTATCTCTCCAGGTCCCATTGGTAGTATTTTAAAGCAAGGATGAGATTTTCTAGGGGAGAAATAGGGAAAATTAAAGATCCATATCTGGGCTGGGGAGATAGCTCAAAGGGGTATTATGCATGCTGAAGGCCCAGGTTTGATCCCTGGCACCACAATGTCGCCTGAATACTGCCAGAAAAAACCCTAAAGAACAACTGTTCAAAGTTGTTCCTGAGCACTTGAAAGTGCTCCAAAACAAAAGCCCAAGTCTAAATCCCAGAATACTCTTCAAGAGATGAGAATGGTGATTATTCAATCTGAGGGTTTAAGAAGTCATAAGCATTATTCTAAAACAGCTCTGATAACCCTCCTGCCCTACAGGTGATAGTTCTTCTGAGATAGGGAAGACAAAGCAGGAATAAATAAATTCTGCTGAAATGGATCACAGAATTGCCCAAGAAATCCTGTCATATGACCTTATTTTCCAGGCCCTTCTTAACAATCTAGCTTGCAAAGCATATTATATTTTGGTGATGGAAAGATGTTTGAGACTCAGTGAGATCTGACATATTGAGGTGATACTGAAATATTGAGGGGAGTCAGTATCTCCCCTCACACCAGCACTCACATCCTTTTCAAATCAGAGATCTTATCACCTTTATCAGCTAAAATGGATTAGGGAACACAGCCTGAGTGAACCTGAGAGTCTGATGGAGAGACAAGGCCTCTGAATCTCTGGAATAAAGAATCAGAATTCACACTACGTCTTCATCTCAGGTATTCCAGGGTGGTCAGCCGAACACCACCCCCCAGCTTGCCTTCCCAGAGCCTCAGACTGACACCCAAGCGTTATGGAGATTTCTTCTGGGAGAACATAAGTAAAAGACCCAGGTGGGTAGAAATAGTTAAAAAAAAAAAAAAAAAGCTAACTAAAGGCACTTGGTGAGGCCCTACGGTTTATTTGGTTTGGGCTTTTCATTTGTTTGTTTTGGGGTCTTTGGGCCACACCTGACAGTACTTGGGGACAATTCCTAGTCCTGTGCTGCCAGCAATACTCAAAGGATCATGTAGTGCCAGTGATTGAACCAAGGTCAGTCACACACAAGGCAAGTGCCATAACCCCTGTGCTATCTCTCTGGCCCTATCTGATTGCTTCTGGTTTGTTTTTGAGATTTTATATTTTCATTGTTTTTTATTTTTTTATATTGGTAGGGGGCAGTGCAGGGATTCCAACCCAAGGCTTTATATAGCACAGTGGGTAGGGCGTTCGCCTTACAAGCGGCCAACATGGCTGACCCGAGTTCGATTCCTCCGCCCCTCTCGGAGAGCCCGGCAAGCTACCGAGAGTATCTCGCCCGCAAGGCAGAGCCTGGCAAGCTCCCCGTGACGTATTCGATATGCCAGACGCAGTAACAACAAAGTCTCCAATGGAGACGTTACTGGGCCCGCTCGAGCAAATATATATATATATATATTTGTGTCAAGTGCTCTGCCTATGAACTACATCCCAGACCAGAGTCTCTAAAATTTTTCATTTGTTTTTGGGGTCTTCAAGACCACATCAGATATGCTCGGGAGCAATTCCAACTTTCTGCTCAGGAATAGTTCTCGGGGACCATATGTGGTGCCAGAGATTGAACTGGGGCCAACTGAATGCACAGCAAGTATCTTACCCCTATGCTATCTCTCCAGACCCAGAGGATCTACAGTTTTTAACTATATAAGGACTTACAGAAATAAGCCCTAATCTAGGGATAATTGTCCCTACTGACTGGTAGATGTTATAGTCTCTAATGTCAAATAGGTACAGGGTTGGGAAAAACTCATTTAGAGGAAACAGAAATGATGATGGTGTCCTCTCTGCATTTAACTCCCTTTTATGCTTTATAGCCCCACCTGGATGGAGGAACAGTACTTCCCACCCCAACTGGTATGAAAAACTAAATGTGCTTCAACACTTCTCCTCTGTTAAAATAGTACTACTGCCGTCCTGTCCTCAGCTCTCCTGACTGCCACTTCCTTCTGTTATACCCCCAATAATGCACTGACCAGGCCTTCCTTTCCGTGAATTGATCATTATTATGCCTTTCACAGCACAGTTATGTTTTCATGATGTGGGTTTTCCAAGAGTTTTCATTATCTGTGTTAACCTGAGATCCCATGAGATACCCAGCTCTGTTATCTAGCTCTTTTTCCCATCCCCCGGAACAGAAAGTCTCTGCTAGGTCACAGCCTGACTTGTATCGCCCAGAAGGGCTCCCACCTCCTGAGATGCTTTGCAGAAGAAAAAGGAGATCACATTTGTCAGGGATGCAACGGGGAACTGGGGGCACCCCAGCCCGGGTGAGGGCTGTCACTTACCACCTGGAGGATCTAAGAAGGAGACAGAGAATCATCAATGAGTAAGGAGAGACTTCTGGGCACTGGGAACTAAGCAGGGTTGGGGGCTGGGGGAAGGATGATTTGAACCTAGAAGGGGTGGAGGGCTTTCCGGGAACTCAATAGTTTGAACCATGGACTTTATGTGATTGAAGCAGAATTTCCATAAAGTGGAAAGGAAAAGGGAACTCAGGGGTGAAGGATGAGCAACATAAACTGGAAGGAATGGAAACTGGATCACTGAAGATAGGAAAGCATTCCATAGAACTGGAAAATAGTGAGGTTACCTCTGAGTCCCAGAACTGAAAGGAGCAGTCTGAAGGGAGCGAAAAGTTTGGAGTAGGGTTCTGGAAATCACAGAACAATACCCCTGAGTCCCAATTGAAAATGTTTCATAGAAGAAAGACTGGAGGCAGTAAGCCTGGTCTCCAGGCATTTCCTTCCTAAGCCTAAAGTCTCCACAGTATGAAGGAGGCCCAGTGGGGCAGCTCTGCGGCTGCAGCTGCATCCGCTCCCCTGATGCTGGATGAAGGTGACTGTGGACTCCCCAGTGCCACCCAATGTCCTGATCTAGAAGAGGAGAGAGCACCTTATCCACTGGAACAAGATCATCATCTCACTCCTGGAAGGGCCCAGGTATGTTTAGAGAGGTGCTTAGTGGGGTGCTAGAAGGTGGTGCACATACCTGGGTCTTGTATTGAGAGAAAAAGTGAAGAACCTGGTTGGATAGATACGTTTCAAAGGAACAAAACTAAAGAGATGGTAGCCGGGACTGGAGTGATAGCATAGCAGGTAGGGCGTTTGCCTTGCACACGGCTGACCCCAGGTTCGATTCCCAGCATCTCATATGCTCCCTAGCATCGCCAGGAGTAATTCCTGAGTGCATGAGTCAGGAGTAACCCCTGAGCATTGCCGGGTGTGACCCAAAAAGCAAAATAATAATAATAATAATAATAATATAATCACTGTATCACTGTCATCCCGCTGTTCATCAATTTGCTCAAGCGGGCACCAGTAACATCCCCATTCACCCTAGCCCTGAGAATTTTTTTTTTAATTTTTATTAGTGAGACACCATGAAGTACAGTTGTAGACTTACAAATTTTTGTGCTTGGGTTTCAGTTATACAATGATCAAGTACCCATCCCTTCACCAGTGCCTATTTCCCACCACCATGGATCCCGGTATCCCTCCCACCCCCGATTCCTTCCATCCCACCCTGCCTCTGTGGCAGGGCATCCCCTTTAGTTCTCTCTCTCCTTTTGGGTGTTGTGGTTTGCAAAAGAGGCATTGAGTGGCAATCATGTTTGGTCTATAGTCTACTTTCAGCATGCTTCTCCCACCCTGGGAGGATCCTCCCAACACCCTTTATTTGGTGCTCCCTTCTCTATCTGAGCTTCCTTTTCCCCTAGCATGTGTAGCTGGCCTCCAAGCCATGGAGCAAAATTCCTGGTACTAACCTCGGCCATTCTTGGGTGTTAGTCTCCTACTTTGTTACTTTATGTTCCCCAGATGAATGCAATCTTTCTATGTCTATCCCTCTCTGACTCATTCCGCTTAACATGATACTTTCCACGAAGTACCACTTGTATGGGCTAGAGCGATAGCACAGCGGTAGGGCGTTAGCCTTGCACGCAGCCAACATGGTCGACCCGAGTTCGATTCCTCTGCCCCTCTCCGAGAGCCCGGCAAGCTACCGAGAGCATCTCGCCCGCACGGCAGAGCCTGGCAAGCTCCCTGTGACGTATTCGATATGCCAAACACAGTAACAACAAGTCTCACGATGGAGACATTACTGGGCCCGTTTGAGAAAATCGATGAACAACGGGAGGATAGTGATAGTGACCACTTGTATGTAAATTTCATGACTTCATCTTTTCTAACTGCTCCATTGTGTAGATGTACCAAAGTTTCTTTAACCAGTCATCTGTTCTCGGGCACTCAGGTTTTTTCCAGATTCTGGCTATTGTAAAGAGTGCTGCAATGAACAAACGAGTGCAGATGTCACTTCGACTATACATTTTTGCCTCTCTGGGATATATTCCCAGGAGTGGTATTGCTGGGTTAAATGGGAGCTCAATTTCTAATTTTTTGAGGATCGTCCATACTGTTTTCCAAAAGGGCTGAACCATTTGGCATTCCCACCAGAGTGAAGGAGGGTCCCTTTCTCGCCCATCTGCTTCCAGCACGGTTGCTTTTGTTCTTGTGGATGTAGCCCTGAGATTTTAGCGGCCTCTCTTACTTGTCCTTCCCAACCGTGCCTCATTGGAGGCTCTTTCAGGATCAGGAGAATGAGACCCATTATTGTTACTGTGTTTGGCATATCGAAAACGCCATGGGGAGCTTGCCAGGTTCCGCCGTGCGGGCAGGAAACTCTCGGTAGCTTGCCGAGAGTATATAATAATAATAATAATAATATAAAAAAAACAAAGCAGGTGATAGCCAAGGATTTGGAGATGCCTGGGCTTGGGAACTAGGAAATTTCAGAAAGATGTGTGTATTCATATATATATGATATATATATGTATATATACTCCAATTTTTTCCCCTCTTACAGCTGCTTTGGTCTCCCTGGACTCCCCTCGGCCGTAAGGGGTCTTATCTTTCCCGCTATCAGGCTTCCTGCAGCACTGGCACACCCCTTTACAGTCCCTGGGAGCCGGAGCTGCAGTCTGAGGAGTGAGAAGGACCCTCCAAGAGGCTTGTGCTGCCCCGGGAAGCCATGGCTTGGCCCCATCACTGGAATCGCCTCCATTTATGGCATCAGGCGTTTCCCTTTCCTTGGCCTTTCCCAACTTCCGCTCCCATTTAAATGGTCCCCGCGGTGTCCCACCTCAACCCAGCCCTCCTGCAGCTACGCCCCACCTCCTGTCGTCACCCACATCCCGCTGCCAGAGAGCTTCTTTTAAAAAAATAAATAAATGAGCAGAAATGAAGCTGAGCCCTGAGTCGTGGTCTTGGAGCAGGGCGGAGAGGCTCGGGGGGAAGCGGAGCTGCTTTCCCGGCTCCACGGCCGCTGCAAAGTAGACGCGCGTCTCCCCAGCTCAAAGCGGAGGGAAAGCCCCGCCGCAGGTCCAGCCTCGTCGCCCCGACCGGACGCCGCGCGAGCCCCTCCCCGGGGCGGCCCGTCAGTCGACCGAGCTGTCGCCTCCGCGCCTGGCGCCCGGACCCCTCGGCCCGGACCCGGCCGCCTAGACCTTCCGCCCCGCGCCCGCCGGCGCCCACGCGTGCGACCCCGGCTCCCTTCCCGAACCCCGGCCCCTTAACGGGAGGCCCCGCCCCGTGCGCGGTGGCGTCAGACGCCGCTGTCAGCGGGCGCCGGGGGGGGTCGGCGTGGGGGAGAATGGCCGCCGCCGCCGGCACCCGCGGGACCCCGGGAGGTAAGCGCCAGGGCCTCCCGCCCGCCTCTCCGCCCCGCGCCAGGGGGCGCAGCGCGGCCCAGCCCGGAAGCGGCGCGCCGCGCCGGGGACCACCGCTGCTCCTGCCCCAGCGCCCCCGTTTCCGTCCTCCTCCCCCGCGCCAGGGGGCGCCCCTCCGCCCACGGCCCCCTGCCGACCGTCGGCCGTGCCGGGACCGACCGGGACCCCGCAGCCCCGCACCCGCGTTGCCCTTCGCGCGTTGCGCGCCCGCGGACTCTGCTCCGCGCGGTCTCCAGAACATCCTTCCGGGCGGAAGGCGCCATCCTGCCACTTAAGCGCTCCTTTGGGGACCACCACCCCGTCGTGGGGGCCACCCCCGGGCCCGCTCCGCAGCTGACTGACCGCCCGTCCCTGGCTGCGCACCTGAGCCCTGGGGCGGAGTCGCCACCCCCTGGCCCCAGGGCACTGAGGGCCGCCCTCCTCCCCCCTACTGACGGAAGCCCTCCGGAGAGCCTCCTCCAGCTTCCAGCTGTTTCCCCAGGGGGCGGGGAGTCCACAGACAGTCGTAGATGGGGTCGTGGATGGGGCGAGACGGACCGAAGGCCAGGAGAGCAGAGGCGTCTGGAAGAGGTGCAGGAGCTGCGGGTGGCGCGAGCTCTCAGCTCTCTCGGGTGAAGGGGGGCTGTCTTGAGGCAGGAAGCCGGGTGTTTAGCCCAGGTTTTACCAGGCCTTGCCCAGCCTGGAGGAAAGGGAGGTTAGAATCGGTTATCACACCTGCCCTTCCCTTGGTGAAGTCAAATAAAGAACACAGGGTGTGTCTTCGAAGGTCCAGCTCTCCGCCCTTTAGATCTCCTGCCCTCCCCCCAACATCCTGGCTCTTTCTTTGCTAAACCATCCTCCAAGGATCCGATACCCTGGGTGCCCTCACCTAGCATCTAACCTCGCCTTAGCCTCAAGGGCTGCAAGCACCCATGCTGCGGGGCCTCTGTGGGCCAACCTGCCAGCTTTCTCCCCTCCCTGATCAGTTGGTTTCTTCCTGATTACTGTTAGCTAGTATCTCCCCACCTCTGTTGGATTCTGGCACTGGGTCTGAGTTGTCCCTCTTCTCCATTCCCTGACTGTACAAATTCAGAGTCCATCCCCTTCCTCTGTCTTCCTCGTCTTTCCCAGGTAGAGCAACCCAGTCTCCCACCTCCCGGATTAGCCTGGGTCTTCTGCTATGACCTTGTTCTCTCCCTTCCCAGCACAGACTCCCCCTCCCCCCGGCCCCTCAGGCCGGGGGTGACCTTGCCCCCTGGAGCCCTCACTATGAATACCAAGGACACCACCGAGGTTGCTGGTGAGTTCACAATCCAGGTTCCCGCTTTGGGTACAATCTTTTTCTTCCCTTTCTATAATGAATCCATCCTTGGATTCTTTCCCTGTCATTATTTCAGTTTCCCCAATGCTCTGGATGCCCTTTTTCTAATGCCCTTTCTCATGGGTTATCGGGATGTCAGGAGCATCAACTCTAAGCCTTCCCTTCTAATTCCCTCTAGAGAACAGCCACCACCTGAAGATCTTCCTCCCCAAGAAGCTGTTGGAGTGTCTTCCTCGCTGTCCACTGTTGCCTCCAGAGCGGCTTCGGTGGAATACAAATGAGGTTTTTTAGGGAGTCTGGGGGGTTAAGGCCTAGCAAGACCTGGTGGGCTGGAAGAGAGTAAATGAGGAGTTTTCTGTATCAGTTGATATTGTCAAGCATAGACTTCTGCTCTGGGTTCTTTGGGGATCTCACAGCCTGAATCTGCTTCTTGGCATAACCCCCGACTCAAAATAATGGCTATAACTTGCAAATTATTATTATGGTGGGGGGTGGCTGGACCACACCTAGCGGTACTTAGGGGCTATTCCTGGGTCTGCGCTCTGGGGACTGTGATTCTGGGGATCCAACCAGCATCTGCAAGGAAAGCACCTTAACCCCTATCCGATCTCTCTTGCTTTACGAAAACATTTTCATGAAAGTTTTATTTAGGAAATATGAGAGGAGAAAACGTGAAAGAATGAAAGAGAATTATACTCTCAAACTAGGATATGGGCAGCTAAAATGGAGTCCTGTACTTCATTTCTTAGAAACCAGGCTTTGTGTACTTGATCTGCACTATCTCATTTAGTCTTGTGTGCTGGAGAGGGGCAGAGCAACAGCAGAGCAGGTAGGGCTTTTGCCTTGTACGCGACCGGCCTGGGTTTGATCCCGGCATCCCATTTGGTCCCCCCAGCACCGCCAGGAGTGCAGAGCCAGGAGTAACCCCTGAGCATCTCTGGGTGTGACCCAAAAAGAAAAAAAAAAGTATGCACTGTCATTATCCTGTGGAAAAGGTGAGAAAACCAACTTCATGTAGATTCTCTAACGCACTCCAAACCACCACCTGATGCACTCCTTCTGGAGGGCCTGGACCTTGTGTCACACACTCCTTATCTTCCCATGTACATGCTTTGTATGTTCATGGTATGCAGTTATGTTGTGAACATGTGTAAGTGTTACAGAGTATTGGTTTGAAGCCTTTTTTACACTTGCAGACCTGTAATAATAGAAACATTTTGTGGAGTGGCAAAACAGTGCATGTGTACACACCACTGGTCATTTTCATTATCACTAGAAGTACATTCCACTCTGCTTTGCTATATGATCCAGGTGTGCCAGGAGTTAACTCTAGTCACTTTTTCAAAGACTCGCAGGAAATTTCTGCAGACTGACACTGGTTCGCAGATCAGCATTTTAGAACCACTGCTGTTAGAGCCTCTAGGAATGGTCAGGGCTTCACAGAGATCGGAAAGGGGATTTATGCTGCAGCAGTGTTTCCTTAAGTAGATAGTACTATCCTCTGAGGGGCATTGGAAAGATTGGGGGCAGGGGAGTAACTCTCATCACAATTGGGGTTGCTTTTTGTTTGCTTAAAGAAGGCAGATTTCTTGGATGCCAGAGATATAGTATAGTGGGTAGGGCACTTATCTTGCACACAGCTGACCCTGGTTCTCGGGCACCCCTTATGATTCCCAAACTCTGCCAGAAGTTATCTTTGAGCACAAAGCCAGGAGTAAAGGAGTAAGCCCTGAGGACCACTGGATATGACCAGAAACCAAACAGAAAAAAGAAGTTAGATTTCCAGGGAGATGCTGAGTGATTTTTTTTTTCTTCCTCTGAAAATAAATTTGGGAACCTCTAGTCTATAGGAGTTCCAGATTTTGAGAGATTTGCACATCCACAGAGAATACTAATATTTAGGAGGTAACTTCTAGAGTAAAGGTAAAGGCCCTCCCGTTGTTCGTCGATTTGCTCGAGCGGGCCCAGTAACGTCTCCATTGGAGACTTTGTTGTTACTGTGTCTGGCATATCGAATACTCTCGGTAGCTTGCCGGGCTCTCCGAGAGGGGCGGAGGAATCGAACTCGGGTCGGCCATGTTGGCCGCTTGTAAGGCGAACGCCCTAAGTTCAGGAAAGAATCTGAGCTGAAGCGATAGTACAGCAGGTAGGGCATTTGCCTTGCATGTGGCTGACCTGGGTTCAATTCTTGGCATCCCATATGGTCCGAGCACCACTGGGAGTGATTCCTGAGTGCAGAGCCAGGAGTAACCCCTGAGCATCTCTTGGTGTGATCCCCCCCCCCAAAAAAAAAAGGAATCAATGGATCAATGGACTGGTCTGTCAGGAAAGCTCGTATGGAAAAATAGTGGTGACCTGCCTTTATTACCGCTTTGAGAGAACCTTGGAGTCAAGCTAAGGAAACTTTCTGACAGTATGAAGCCTTGAAGATTTTTTTAGTTATAAAGTGGAAAATGGGGTCTTGACAAGAGCAAAATGAGCAAGACAACAGACAGTCTGTAGACTGGATGATGAAGATCTTGAATGTTAACCCCAAATTGAAAGTTCCGTTGGGAAGGAAGGAGGAAAGAAGTCAAACTCTAACCATTAGCCTTTTGTCGGAGGTAGGACTTAGGATTCTTAGAAGGGCAGAGACCTTGGGCCTGGAGAGAGTACAGCGGGTAGGACACTTGCCTTGCACCTGGCCAACCTGGGTTTGATCCCCAGCACCCCATCTGGTCCCCTGAGCTCTACCAGGAGTAATTCTTGAGTGCAGAGACAGAGCCAAGAATAAGAAAAAGCCCTGAGCACTTCTGGTATCCAAAAAGAAGAAGAAAGGCAGGGACCTTGCTGTATCCAGATACCTGGTAGCACCCTCAAGAATTCAGCAGACAGTGAGACAGAGGAGATAGCTCAGAGGCTGAGACCTGTCCCCTCAGCAGCATACCCACCCGAGTGCTTCCTTTCCTCCAGGAGATTGCATCCTACTTGATCACCTTTGAGAAGCATGATGAATGGCTTTCTTGTGCTCCAAAGACAAGGTGAGATCACTTGTGAAATTATGGAGTCACAGGGATTCTGGGTTCTGATCACAGAACTTGAGGCCAGTCTTTCCACCCTCAGGCCTCAGAATGGTTCCATTATCCTCTACAATCGCAAGAAGGTGAAATACCGGAAGGATGGTTA